AAATCAACCCCGAGTATTCACTGGAAGTACTGATGCTGAAGCTGAAGCTCCAATACTTCGGCCAACTGATGTGAAGAGCCAACTCATTGGAAAAGACCCTGATGTTGTGAAAGATTGAGGGCAGGAGGAAAAGGGGGAGACAAAAGATGAGATGGTTGGATAGCATCAACTCAATGGACATGAGTTTGAGCAAACTCCAGGAGATAGTGAAGGACAGGGAAGCCTGGCTTGCTGCAGTTCATGAGGTCTCAAAGAGTCGGACATGACAGAGTGACTAAACAGCAACAATTTTATAATCGCATAATATTTCAGAGTTTCCAGAACACTTTCATGTCATTTTCATCTGGCTTCATTAAATCTTCACAACAGCCTAGTATTATTAAATGAGGTAAAACACATAGAATACTTGGGGCTTCTTAGAATAGTGGTTAGTACGTAGTGAATGTTTACTATTATTATGAAAATCATTATTAGCCCTATTTTATATTTGACAGGTCTGAGGCTCAGAGAGGCTGTTACTTGCCCAAAGTCACACAGCTGAGAAGTGGTAGAACTAGGCCTGAAGTCAGCTCCTGTTTCTAGACCTTTCTCCATTTTCCCATGCGCAAAAAAATTTAAGCTGGGCTTGCCAAGGTTGGGCCAAGTTTTGAGGTGGCCTTAGCAGAATCATCTCTGATGAGGTCTCCTCAGCCTCATGAGCCCTAGTTGGCTGGTGAATGGGAATTCCTGAGAGTGTTCTGTGCCTTGAGTAAGAAGAGTTAAATCTAGAAGCCTCTACTCATTTTAGCAGTGAGGGGAGATGGTTCATTGCCTTGTCGCTCAAGGAAGCTGCAAGCCATTAAACTCACATAGATCCTCAGCTGGTAGGCTTGTTAAGAAAATGTGACAATAGGGGGAAATTAACAACCCAGGAACCATAGATATTTTTAGTCTGTGCTTCAAGGATGTACATCTTGGTTTCTGTTTAGATTGAGCGAGAGGGAGTGAATTTGGATTGATTTTACAAGACTGGCAGTCAGAAGGTCCTTACTGAGACCCTACTCTGTGGCCCAACCTAAGCAAGTGACTGAGGAGAGTAACTAAGGGAGGTGAAGTTATTTCCCAGATGTTCAAACGCTGTGGAGAGTGGTATAATCTTTTTCTTGGGTGGGAGGCAGTGTGCTGACATCAGTAAAAATTCCGTCTAGTCCTTGCACCAGCACTTCTGCAGTTAATTATCCTTCTAAGGTACAATGGGGTAACTGCAGTTAACAGTACTGTATCATATACTTGAAATTTGCTAAGAGAGTGGATCTGAAGTGTTCTCAGTGCACATGCATGGACACACACACGCACACACACAAGGTAATAATGTGAGGTGATGGGTATGGTAGTTAACCCGATTGTGGTTACCCCATTTCACAAAGTATACATATATCAAGTTATCACAGTGGACACTGAAAATATTACAATTTTATTTGTCAATTATTCCTTAGTAAAGCTGGAAAAAATAATCTTATGAGTATATTTTTAATTGTAAGCCATTGTAGCTCTGTTTGTAATAGCAAAAACAGTCCAAACACTGGAAATGGAATTTAATGCAGCTATTATAAAGAAAGAGTCTTATCGATATGTGCTGAAAGCATATCACTAAGATATGTTTTTTTTTAATTGAAGTAGAACTGACTTACAATATTAGTTTCATGCTTACAACATATCAATTCAGTATTTTTTTGATTATACTCTATACGAAGTTATTATAAGGTAATAAATGGAAAGATATCCCACATTCATAGACTGGAAAAATTAATGTTTTAAAATATATATGCTAACCTAAGATTTTTAAGTGCAATAAAAAAATTATGGGGCAAGAAATAAGAATGTATATAGCATGATGCCATGTGCATGTTCGAAGCATATATGAAGGCAGGTATATGCACACATTTTCCCCACACTGGAAGGATATACTTGTAACGGGTGAGGAGGGGTATGTGTGATAAGGGGAACAGGAGGGGGAAAATGTATTTTTCATCTTATACTTTTAAGTTCTTTTGAAAATAGATAGAGTTTTTGGTTTAGCCATCTGACATTTTTTTTTCCCTCATTTAAGAAACTTGCCAGAAGTCACAGAACCAAAAAAGTGTACAGCTAAGATTCCCACCCGAACTAGCAACACTGCTTCCTAACAGTGCTCTCTTAGGATCAGAAAGTAATTCTGTCACTTGTTTGTAAATTACAAAAAATTTTCCATGAAGACACCTGGGAGAATGTGGTCATTCTCAAGAAGGCTCTGCGCTCCGTTGCCTGCCACCTTGGCTCCTGTTCTATAGGACGTGGCACAGCCAGGAGAGGTCAGTGACCTGGAGCCAGGAAACACAAACCAAAATTTCCAACAGGGCAAATTTCCTTCAGGAAAAGACATTAAGATCATTGGAGAGGTGGGGGTGGGGAGAAGGCATGAAAACAGGGTCATTAGCCAACTTGGTCAACGGGCAGGTACAGGAAGTGGCAGATAAACACAGCCAGAATCTATAATTATACTTCAGTATCAGTGTTCAAAACCCACAAAATAAATGAGTGAATTAAAAAACTTGGCAGAGTCTAAGTGCCTAGATATAAACTCCTAGCGTTAGGCTTAACTCCTATGAACTTCTCTTTGATTTCGAGCATATTATTTAGCTGCTCTGGCTTTCTTTCCCCATTAGTCAAATGGATAGCACAGTCTATCCTGGCCACTTCACAGAGTTGTAAGGAACAAATAAGGCAAGAGACGTGCTTTGAAAATGCAAGACATCATACCAAATGAAAGGTTGTTGTTGATGCCTCTGGGACATACCTCACGGAAGGAGACCTCTTTTCTCATTAAGCTTTTTTTTTTTTTTTAATGGATCTCAAATTCTGTGAGCGATTTTTTTCAAGTTGTTTCCATTTAAAAGTACTGGTTTGTAAAAACTAATAACTTAAAACTGCCACACATAAAACAAATGGTCCACAAAATATTTAATTCTCCTTTCCTGCTGAAGGGTTTACAATGCATTGTTATAATTAACCAGTCTTTTACTAGTAAACGGAAACGACCAACTGAGACGAGCAGGTCTGAGACCGTTCTCCCACCACTGATTAAGACTGGGGTGGCAGGTATTTAGAGACAGGAAGCTGGGAGGAAGCATCAGGAAAGCATTGCTGGTAGCAAGGTAGACACACCTCACCAACACAAGTGAGAAACCTCATGGGATCATTTTATTCCAGTTCCTTCTGTTTAGAGTCGAAAGACCTACGGAGTCCACAAGATCCCCAGAGCAGTGATAGTGCAGTGCGTAGACTATTACTTAAAGCCACAAATAAGATGGAACCATGAAAGGGACTGGATGTGCTACATGCCCTTTGCCTGAGGGGCTTGCTGAGTTATGAATGCTGAACAGGACTCTGGAAGCAAGCTGATGAAGCACAGGAAGGAACTGGGACAGAGGCAGGGAGATGAACTTTGGTGATCCAGCTCTAGGATGGCTGAGCGCCTCTGAGGAGCAATTTGAGGGTAGCCCAGGACTTGGACAGGACAAATGACAACTTCCTGGAACAGACTGTTCCAGGACCAGAGAGGAAAGGAAATAGCCTGGCCCCATCCTGGGCAGTTCACAGGAGCTAGGGCGGGAAGTATTTGAAATGGAGCTAGTGCTCACAACATCAAGTGCCTTTTCAGTGGAGGAAGGAAAACGGGACAAGAAACCTGTGACATAGCATACACATCAAGTCAGTTTTCGTCATGGTGGGAATGAAGATGGCAAGAATGAGGGAGACAGTGCTGTGCAGAGCCGACAACTCTGGGCTCAGACTAGGGCGCGATTATTGCTTATGTCACTCACTTGCTATTATGACCTTCAATATGCCACTTTTCCCTCTGAGTCTCGGTTTCCCCATCTCAAAAATGAGTGCCCTTCTCCCCATCTCATAAGTAGTTATGAGAGTTAAATGAGATGTTCTTGAAAGCAACTAACACATAATTCCTAGAATATGAGTCCCAGTAAATGTTAGTTTATCCCTTTGTTTTGGAGAGGGACTTTAGAAAACCTCCAGTGACACATGCTGATTTGAAATTTCAAGCGCTGGGAAAGCAAGGCCAACCTAGGTACCATGTGGAAAGGCCCTTTTGACAGATGGAGAAGCAGCCTAAAAAGTCAGACAAGAAACTCTCATGAGAGGAAGGGTAGGTGAAGGGCAAAGTAGCACTGGCTATAAATACAAGCACAAACACCATCCCCTTACCAGCAGCTGTACTGTGAGGTTCCTCCGGTTTGTGACAAAATGGGAAGCTAATAACTACGGTCTATCCAGGCTTGACTCATTCCCTTAACTGCTCTGAAACACAGGAGAGGTTTTGTATTCAATTATAGTAGTTTCCCTAAGCCTCTCCTGCCACCGCCGCCCCCCACCCTCCGCCCCCCATATTTTTCTGGTATAATTAACTCTCTTCATTCATTGACTGTCCTTTCATCCTTGTTTTGTTGGTTATATTTGCTTTTTAAATTATCAATTGCCTCAAATCTTTTCTGGAAGTATGGGTATGAAGCGGTAAAATAGTTTTAGTTTCTTCAGAAACTAAAATTCCAAGGGTGGAAACCAGCTAGAAAACCAGAGTGAAACGCAGGATGGGGAAAGATAAGGGAACTACAGGGAGGTATAAATTGACCCAGTTTTTAGCAGGAGTCACATCAGGGAAATCCTACTTCTGGACTTCTTTTGTAGCCAAAACATGACAGCAGCTGTTTTCATAAAAGCACAAAGCCTAGGAGTGAAAGGCCTTTTGGTTTATTTTATAGAAGAAAGGCCATGGTTTGTCCGAGGCGCTCTCATGGTGATCTGGTAACAGACTAAGGTCTAACACTTACCCAGGTCTCTTGACTTTCATCCTGGGATTCTGTGTGCCGTGGTCCTCCTCATCTTTGTGAGAGAGAATTTCTGATGACAAACACCTGTACAAAACTAATAGGTGTGGGTTTTTGTTTTTTTTTCTTTTTTTCCAGGGCCAAGTGCTTTCGGGGCAAAAAAGTCCTTGGAGATTATGATATCAAAGTGGAACAGGTAACCACCCTGGAGCCCAGGATTGCACCTGCATCATTGTGGGACCTTCTTGACACTCTGGAGTGAACCATCTGGTGCTGCCAAGTGGAAAGATCAGGGTCCATCACTAGCTTCTAGGCTGTCTACCTCCTCCCCCTACCCTTTCCAGGACGTCTCTCTCTATGAGACCTGGTCTTGAAGGCTGCGTCTGTCAACTCCCCTGAGTTCTCTTCATGGCTCTGGGGTCTGTAGGGAGGCAAGCAGTGTAGCTTTCAGGGCCTCTGGGGATGCAGGGTCTTTGGGCTGAGGAACACTGTAGAGGAATGTCTTCCGAGGACACGGCCACACCTCAATACTGTAGTCGCAAGGTCTTGCTCGGTAGATACATGTCTGCCACTCAGGTGTGCAGCCTCCAGTGAGGCCTCCTCTGTGCCTAAGGCTGCACTTCAGAGAGAACTTAGCAAAGAACACCTCCTGGGTTTAACGCAGTGAAGTCCTGAAAGGCTCAGTTTTTATCTTCCCGTACCCTTTGCTCCATGATAAATAAGAGATTAGGTCCATTTGAGTCGGGGGGAGGGGGGATGTCCACTTTACACCGAGCATGTATTTTCTATGTAACGATAGAAACTACTCATCATTCCTTACACAGTGTGCTGGGATTTACAGATTTACTGTTTCTATCCATTGCTGCATTCAGTTCTTAGAATAACTTGTTAGGCAAGGTTGATAAAAATTATTTCCATCTTATAGATGGGAGAAACTGTCCACCCAGAGAGAATAAGTAACTTGCCTGAACATCTTATGCATCTCATTGGGCCAGAGCAGCACCGAAACCCGATTTCCTAAATGAAAACTTAGTGCTTTTATGTTGAGACTGAGAAAGGGCATGTTTCCCTCAGTTTGCCTTCCTGGTCTGCAGAGAGGCAGCACAAAAGATGCTGGGTAGGGAGTCAGAAGCCCTGAGTTTTGCTCCCGTCTCGGCCAACAGTAAGCTTTGTTTGTCCAGAAAAGTCACTTAACTGCTCCTTTGGTAAATAAGGATAATTATTCTGCCCCTCCTGCCTCACAGAGTGTCTATGAGAATAGATGGGATCAGTTTGGGAAAATGCTTTGCAAACTGTAAATACATGTTTGCTGGAAAAGATGCTACTGCTGCTGCTTTATGGGGGTGCCTCTCAGAGTCAGGGCTGTGGGGCTGACTCCCCTACTGCTGATTTTATTTAGTTATGTTCTATCATAGTAAGAAACACATAAGGTGAAATCCATGCTCTTAATCCCCTCCTGTTATTTCCCAGGCGGAATTTTCGGAGCTCAACCTGGTGGCCCATGCAGATGGCACCTACGCCGTGGATATGCAGGTGCTCCGGAATGGCACAAAGGTGGTCCGGTAAGGTCCTTTCTGTCCTCGGGGTCACTGCCGTGACCACACCGTCTCTGGCGTGCCATGTGTAGTGTACAGACCTTGTTGACATGTGTTATGTGGCGGTGGTGGAAGGAGGCAGAGAAAGCTGGCTCTGGCCCTTGGAGATGTCTTAGTTCCTTGGTGAAGGAAGCTCTGTGGACTCAGCTCACTTTGCAGCCACTGGATGATTCCTGTCAGAGGTGTTGCAGGACTCTGGCCCCACCTCAGCCAGTGCAGCTCTGGACTTTTATCTCTCAGTGTATTTCCCCTGGAAAACACAATTCCATTGCCTTAAAAGAAAAGAGCTGGGGGGAGCTTAAAAACCTCTGCTGTGGTCCAGCCTCCCATTACCCATGGATTTGCTTCCATTCACCTTGGCAGCAGAGCCTTGTATACTATGTGAGTTCTCCTAACACCCTTCCAGTGTTCTTCTACCCTCCAGATTTCTGGGAACTCCTCAGTCTGATAAGAAAGCCTGGGTCAGAAGGGACAGTGCGAGTGGGAGAAAATTTGCAATTACAAAGCACTTACACTGCAGGTGGGGTGCTAGGTGACATGTACACGTCATCGATTGTAATACAATTCTCTGTGGGAGGTGATGAAGATTCCAGATGAGGGAGCATGGTTTCCACATTGTTATTCTTTCCCAGGACTCAGCATGGCTTCAGGGTTCCAGGCATCAGGGTCTTGCTCCAGGAAGAGCCTTCACTTCACCCTTTTCCCTTTTTCAACCTGCACTGCCCTGACCCCAAGGCTGCCAGCGTCCAACAGGACCTGGTCCATGACAGGGAAGGCAGAACTCAGGTGTCTGGAGCCGAATGTCAGGGAGTGTGAGCTCATCCATCCTGGAGACTGAGGACAGAGAAGAGCTGCCCACCCTTGGTCGGGGAGCACTCAGGAAGCTCCTGCTAGAGACAATGGCGGACTCCCCCCGCTGCAAATGGAGTAGGTCATAGGGATCCGTGGCAACAAGAGGGCCCACATCAGGGTGCTTGGCGGGAAGTGGCGAAAATAAGGCGGGCCTCTCCCAGTCGCCACTGTGGGCACCCGGGGCTGACTGCAAGCCTGGAGCTCAGGTTCGGTGACCGGGATGTAAGGCTTGGTCTCAGGCGTATAGACGGAGCCAGTTTCCCAGAACTTGGGCGCAAGGTCGGAGCACACACCAGCTGACTTGATGCTCACTCTCCTGAGTGACTGAGGAGGGGTCCTCCCACCTCTACTTTGGAAGACTGATCTCTGAGCCCAGGTGGGGCTGGAACAGTAGGCAGAAATTGGGTGGGTCCCAGGGCAGAGAACCAGGTCCATCACTGTACATGTGTGAAATGGCCAAGGCCTGGAGCCTTGAGGGGAGATGCTGCTGCAGAACTGGCTGTCTGGGAAGGTGAGGTTCCTCAGGAATCAGAGCATGAAGTCGGGGCCCTGATCCTATGGAGCTCTGCTATCTGGAGGTGAAACACAGGGAGCCTTCCCGTGCCCGGGAACACACTGTACTCTCAGCTTCCTGTAGCCAGTTGCTCAACCTCAGCTCTGTGGAAACATTCGTGCCCCTCCCTAAATCTGCTTTGGAGGAATAACACTGGGGTGTCTGGCATCTGTTCTCAGCCAGCCTGGACCCTGGTTCACCTGGGGAGCTGCTAGGGGCCCGGCATCTTTAAGGAGCAGCTTGAGGAGTCATAGCAGGACGCTGAGGTCAGGGGTCTTTGGAGCAGGGCAGTGAAGTCAGCCAAGTGTGGTGTCTTCAGAGTCTGCTGGAACCCTCTCAGGGTGCCAACTCCAGAGCCACAAGAGCTTCCACTCTCATCCACAGGGACACGGAAAATCCTTGTTGACTTAAGGTGTGGCAGTCTAAAAGTGTTTCTTCCCTCCTCCCCGACGGCTTCTGCACCTTAGAAAAAGACAGTGCTTAACCCAGAGGAATTGTTCAGTCGCTCCGTCATGTCCAACTCTTTGTGACCCCATGGACTGCAGCACGCCAGGCTCACCTGTCCTTCACCATTTCCCGGAGTTTGCTCAAACTCATGTCCTTTGAGTCAGTGATGGCATCCAACCATTTCATCCTCTGTCACCCTCTCCTCCTCCCACACTCAGTCTTTCACAGCATCAGGGTCTTTTCCAGAGGAAAAGAATTTCAGAAATCTGTTCAAATCTCCTTTGAGAAGTGCCTATATAATACGGCGTTTCCTAGTCCATAAGAGAACAGTCATAACAAAATGAGGGTCTTGGCTCAGGTAACCCCTTCCCTGTCTTGGGCTTTGGAGACGGGAGACAAGAGGATATGTGTCCTGAGGTTCTGGTTGGTGGCAGACTTGCTTCTACATTCTTTCCAGGTCCTTCCGGCCAGACTTTGTGCTCATCCGGCAGCATGCGTTCGGCATGGCAGAGAATGAGGACTTTCGCCACCTGATCATTGGCATGCAGTACGCAGGCCTCCCCAGCATCAACTCCCTGGAGTCCATTTACAACTTCTGTGACAAGCCATGGGTGGTGAGTGAGTCCCCCTTCCCTCAGGTAAAAGGGCAGCATCCTGATCCTCTGACTCTGGGTCCCCAGAAGGACCTCTGTTGATCCAGACACCGTGAGGGGCCAGCTGAGAGGGTGTGGGAGGAGCTTCAGCTGGGGCACGGGGTGGGGCCGGCTCTCACAGTAGGACTTTGTTGTCACGGGCTGGGCTGCCTCTGCTGCAGAAGGGACCTTTGGCCTCACAGCAGAGTCACACAAAGATTCTGTGAAGGAGCCCTTCCAGGTCTGCAGCCATCAGATATAGCAATAAAAACACCTACTTCTTGCCTCCGAAAGATCTAACCATTGGAAAGGCCTGAGGCCACCGGGGACCAAGGGGATGGTGCACCTCAGAGGGATGTTAGTGTCAGAGTCCTACCAAGTGTCTCAGCAACCTTCAAATGAGATTCATCCACACACGTACCAAATCAGACACTTTTATGCTCTGGACGTGCCCTCTGAGATAATTGGCTCTCACTCCTTCATGGCAGAGATGTGACCATTTTCTGAAAGAAGGTAAGGAGTATAAGACCACTCACTATGTGATGCCAGCTTTGGAGATTTTCCTACATGAACTTCATTTAACCCTCATAATAGCTTTACAAGGAAGGTGTTATTATTATCATTATTAACACTTTTTACAGAGAAATGAGACCCAAAGAGGATTCAGTAACTCACCAAAGTTTCTGACACCATCCCTCGCATAAGCGGGGTTACTATGTGAGGAAGAAGCTGGTCTGGTGGTCTCTTCCTGGGCTAGTCTGGAAATCTTGGAGGCAGTGGAAGCATCTGAGCAGAGAGAAGAGTGCAGCTGGGAGAGGAAGCGGCCTGAGATGGTTCTAGGCTGCTCCAGCTTCCCCTCTGACCGCCGAGGAGATCCAGCTCCTAGAACTCTGCCGCTCCAGGCTGCTCCTCTCAGAAGGAAACACCTGCCCCTAGTCACATCCTTCTCTTCTTGTTTTTCAAGGGTTATTTCAGCTCTCACACACTGGCTTGCCAAGGGTCATGGCACTGGTGGCTGATTGCGGAGTTCGCAGACCCCAGGCTTCTCCCACTCAGGGAGCTGGAGCGGGGGTGTTTTCTTTTTTTAACCAAAAGGACCCGTCACCTCTACTCTTTCACCTGAACTCAGTCTTCCTGTTTCCTTGGAAGCCGGGGAGACCTGGCAGTGTGAGAGGAAGACCAGCGAGCAAGGAGTCGAAAGATCTGGGAGCTGCTGTAGCGGCCCCTTGCTCAGCCTTTCCCTCTGTCTGGCCTGAGGGCTTGGAGTCCGAGAGTTCCGGCAGAAACCAGCTGCAGGAGTTGTGTTGTTTGAATAGGTTGCTGATCACAGGAGAGCGCATATGAGGCCTTCAACAAGCTTCCCCTTAGTCACATGGCCTTCCGCGCTGCACTCATGCCCTAGCCCTTTCCTCCCTCACCCCTTCAATACTTGCTAGAATTTGGCTCCCTCATAGCCACACAGGGTGGTTCTGCTAGTATCAGCTCTTTTTCTGGGCAATCTCACTAATCAGCCTCCTGACTAAACCAGTCTGTGCCCTGGTTTCTTTGTCTGTAAACTAGGAGTGGAGGCTTCCCCAGTGGCTCCATGATAGAAGAATCTGCCTGCCAATGCAGGAGATGCAGGTTTGATCCCTGGTTGGGAAGATCCCCTAGAGAAGGAAATGACAACCCACTCTAGTATCCTTGCCTGGAAAATCCCATGGACAGAGGCGCCTGGTGGGTTACAGTCCACGGGGTCTCAAAGAGTCAGACGCGACTGAGCAACTGAGCGTGAGGATGAAATGAGTAATCGCAGTACCTGCCACCAGTCTGCCAGCCTGGTGTCACAGCCCCCAGGGTTGGGATCTGAAAGAAACTTATTCCGTGCTGCATGTTCCAGAACTGTGCCGGCGGCCAGGGAAGGGCGGGTCAGAGAGCCTGGGCTGGGCCTTTGCCCCTCCTGGGATCTGGGATCTGGTGAGGGTTCACATTCTCACCCGTTCACAGTCCCAGCACATTGCCGTTGGCATCGCAGGGGAACAGCAGGGCTCCCTGGCCACACACCAAGTTCTCCCTTCATTTTCACTAAGCAGCTGCCACACTAATGGCATTTTATATATTGTTCTTTGCCTGTTCATGGGGATGAACAAATCTGGTGACTGTGAAGGGGACTTCCCTCTGAGATGATGACTTTGGTCTGTGTTTTCTAAATTTCTCTACTGTGGCTGCTCCTGGCATGAGGAGAGGCCTCAGCCATGTTGGGAAGGTTCCACCTTGTCTCTGAGCACATCCGCTATTTCATAGATTGCCCACGGCAGGCACACGGGGAGTTTGGAAGCAGAAGTAAGACCTGTCAGTGAAAGTAGCATTCCAGGGAGAGCAAGAGTGCTGCCTGCCATGTTGCTGCAGATTTATGTGAAAATCCTGTCACTCTCTGTGGGGTTTTTTAGAGGCAAATGCACAAGAGTGTAATTGAAGCACTTTATTTCCAGGAGGGATCAGGGTAACATATTAAATTCAGACTGATCTTGAAATCCCATTTCATCTGAGAAATCTTTCCTGATACATTGGATAAATGGTTATGCTGAGCATTATCTTCCTATTCATTGCCAATACCACCCCCAGCTCCAAATGTATTCTTTTGTCTCTGTGGAGAGGAAATAACCCTTATCAGATATTACTTTTGTTTAATTGGTGACTCTATGCTTGTGACTGAGGCCGAGTTTCCAAGGAGGCAGGAGTTAGATGCCAAGCCTAGTGCTCTGAGCAGAAGGGACTACAGAAGGTAGAGGAGAAGGAGTGAGCCCCCAGGGACCCAGCTAGTGCATGGGAACTGGCTGCCATCTTAGTCTTGACTGTGCCAGGACTCTGGGAGCCTGCCGGGGGCCTTCTTGGCATCAGTGTGGTGTCTGTGTAACTCTCCCACATGCTGGGAAGATAGGGCCCCACATGCCTTGGTGCTGTGCCAGGGCGTGGGCTGCAGCAGGACAGAGGTTGTGAGGCAGAGGTGGCATCAGCTGGCTGGGGAGGCTGCAGGGCCTCAGGAGCTCGGGCAGGTATCTAGACGCCGAGAAGGAGTCCAGTCATTCCAAGTGGCCAGCCAGGACCTGAAGGTCAGATGAGGTAGCGGGGGGAGCGGGAGAATGCAAGAGAGGGCTGAGGGGTGGTCCTGGCAGTCAGAGGGCGTGGGAGGACCAGAGAACACCAGCACGGCGGTGGGCACAGTGACGAGCACCACCGGGCGGGGAGGGCCCTGGGCCCCGTCCCAGCGCGCCCTGACTCCAGGCATGAGGCGGCGGCCTGTGCTCCCCTTTGCTGCTCTGGCCTTGCTCTCCTCATCTGTAAGATGAGGTGTCTGGTCTAGAGACTCTCTGAAGTCTCTTCCGATAATAAAATCTTAGGGCCTTGGGGGTCCATCAGTCATACTTGCAGCCCCGGAGGAGGCCTTGAGATCTAGAGCCACCAACTGCGTGTCACTGAGGAAAGTGACCCAAAAACTCCAATGTTTCTCAGCATTTCAAAAATAACAGATTCTATCTCTACTCACAAAAGGACCACAACCAATGATCACTAAACAGCAGTCTCATCATGGAGTTTAGGAGGAAATATAATGAAAAGATTTTTTTTTTGGTGTGGTTAAAAAGTTTGAAGAACTGATCAAATTCCGTTGTCTATTTTATACATGAAGAAAATGAGGCCTGGAGAGGAGACATCATTTGCCCAAGGACACCTAGCAAGTTCAAGGCAGAACAAGAAGAATCAGAAGACTCTGGTTTTCTAACAACCCAGCTCTGGCTTTTATTGTCTCCCTGTACCAATACACGTGCTAACATCACTGATTGAAAACAGAAACTGGGCTTTTGAAAAATATTCTCTTTCCCTTCTTTAGTAAACAGAAGGTCGGTTTGATCTGGCAACTCTTCCTTCCAGCAGTTCCAGGTATCAGTGGCTTAGAGCGTGAACCCAGTAGCACGAGAGAGAAGACGCTGGATCACAGCCGCTGCCAGTGCTCTGGGGTGGGTGTGTGTGGAGGTGGGGAATGAGTGTGAACGGATTGAACTGGAAAGTTTCCTGTGGGAAGAGCACGGTCTCTTTAGAGCCTGAAAGGCAGCTACATGAAGGAGAAGGAAGAGTTACGGGTTAGGACTAAAGGGGTCTGGCTATGAATCTGGCTCAACTGCTGTGTGACCTTGAGTGAGCAACCTCTCTGGGCCTCAGTTTCTCCACTTATAAAGTAGGGGGGTGGGCAGGGGACACCAGGGACGCTACATGTTCACCAAAGGCAGACCCTGACATTTAAGTATGTGCGCTTCACCCCTTTTCCCTGGAGCTGTTCTGGCTTTTCATAGGTGAAGGGTCCAGTGAGTTCAGTTCTTAGATGAGCAGTAAGTCCAGAAGACGGGGTCTGTCTTTGCTGCATTCCATGATTCCATCCTCCCTTTCTTTTCCTTGGCATTGAATTTCCAAGACTGGGCCCCTTGTTCCCCCATCCAGCTTCATCACTTTCCATCTCTAGGGATGATGGTGTTTAGAGTTATAGAGACCAAAATTTCAACCCCAGCTGTCCCTTTTTTTGCAGCACTGTGGCTTTAGGCAGTCACCTACCCTTTCTGAGCCTCATATGTAAAATGAGGATGATAAAGAACCCTAGCTCATCAGTTTGATATGAGGATTAAATGAAATATCATTAACATTGAGTAGGCACTGAATGAATACTACCTCACTCTCTCCCTTCCCCAACAGAAGCATATGTTCCTGGAGAATAGAGGGTGGGACACCTCTTTTATATCCTCAGAGCACTTTGTACAAAGCCCTCAGTGGAGCAGATGCTCAATAAATATTTGTTCAGTGGATTGCCATTTTGTCTGTTCCAGAAGCTGTCTGGGTAAACTGAAACCTTTGCTTCTCTTTTGCAGTTTGCCCAGCTGGTGGCCATCTACAAGACACTGGGAGGAGAAAAGTTCCCGCTCATTGAGCAGACTTACTACCCCAACCACAAAGAAATGGTAGGTGACTGAGGGGGGCATCAGTCTCTGCTGTCTGCACTCTGAGCTTAGCCGTGTGGGCCTCTGAGGAGGGCCTCAGCCTCTCAACCCCAGAGACTCTATTGAGGTTGAACTGCAGACCTGCTTGGTGAGGCCACAGTGGCTGGGTTTTAGCTGACAGCCCTCTGTCTCCAAAACTTGGAGACAGAATAGGAAAGAGTAGAAACAGGGGCATTTTATCAAAAGCTTAGAGTAACAACCTAGATGGATCAATAGTCAGAAGATCCTGCTGCTTGTGATTCTAGCCACAAGTCACAGACGGTTATGTTCCCTCACCACGTGTCAGCATCCCAATCCGAAAAGAGAGTGGGCTTAACGATTCCTGGCCAGGATAGCTAATATGGCACTTGCATGATTTCAGTGAGATTCTTTAAGCAAATAGTCTGTGAGGAGTGTGGACTGCTCCTCAGGTGTAAGCTATTGTTCCTGATATTATTCACCAGACACTTCCTCAAAATTCAGATAAGACAAGGGTTTCACTCTGCCTTCTCTGAGGCCATACCAGGATAGCAGAAGGAGCAGAACAATGGGATAGACGGTTGGTACAGAGGCTGCCTCTAATGTTTTCCCCCATTCTTCTTCTCTGGCCCCACGTTCTCTGCCCCAGGCCTGCATGGTCAGTGGGTAAGCCTACTTAACCCACCAGTGGAGACTCTCTGCCTTAGCTTTCCAAGTCTTTTGCTCCAGGACAGAGATCTCCAGAAGGAATCTCCATTTGCACCATTTCTGTGGAACCTTCTTCTGGTGTTTTGTGCATGCCTCAGCTTATCAGCAAGCTGTATAGAACCTTGGGGCCTTGGGAAGAACTACCTTCTCCATCTTTGCCAGAGCTTCCCTGGGAGAGGCCCTGGAACTTTAAGCACTTGCCCCTGATAAATCCTTAAGACCCTCATCAGGACCAGTCAGGAAGGCTTGTAGAGGCAGAGGAGCCCTCAGGGGCTGTGCCTGTGGGCTTCAGGGTGTCCAAGAGGACTGAGCGGGAGGCTGGGGCAGGGAGGGGGCGGTGGTTCTCAGAGCTGGCTGACCACTGGAAGAGCTGTAACACTTGCAAAGTGTATTCCTCACCTACCGTCCTTTCCCCCAAGGGCCCTTTTTATCCTGTCCTCTAGCCTAAAATGTGCCCTCAAGAGAGGACACCCACCCCCCCACCACCAAGACCTCTGTGAGGTTTCAAAAGCTAAGGGGGAATTTCAACTCTATAAGAGAAAGCCTTTTTTTTTTTTTAAGCTTAAAAAAGGTTTTGAAGTAGTAATGAAAACATTAGTAATCTAGTAGAGAAGGACTTTCTAAAGGAGACAGAGGAGAAGCCTTTTGGACAGCAGTTGAAGACATTAAGTATAGTCAACCTGGAGAGACAATACCCAAGTCTATTCTTGTCTTGCTAACTGGGCCAGGCCCTGTGCCGAGAATGGTATAGAGGGGATTACATTGTAGGCTTCACACTGAGTGACTCCTTGTCCCCCTTTGTCACTCCCCTAAACAGGTGAAAGCGTATCAGAGGATCAGAATGAGTTGAGACTGGAGGAGTAGATGAAACACAGCCAGAGGATGTTGTTCTTTTCATTTCTCTAAGTCAGCCTGTTATGATACTGTCACCCACCTTCTGGTCTTGTATCACACAAGGCCACCCCATCTCATATGTATAACAGTCATCATTTCTCCCCTGTCAGATCAGTTAAGATAAAAAGAAAACACATTTATCTGGGGAGAAAAAGGAATAGTCCTAGCTCTGAAAACAGAAACTAAGCCAGAGTCAGTAACAAATACCAGCTCAACTAGAAGGTTCGGAGGCAAGGATGAAGAGCTGAGGGTGGGAGAGAAAAGTCTTGCTACTTTCCCTAGCCCTTGGCCCGACGTGTTCTGGACTGGGGTCCCGGACACAAGCTGCCACACGGCCCATCCCTGCCCTCATGCTGGCCACACCGTCCTCCTGATACTTCCTCTTGTCTGGCATCCATGAAGCAGGTGGGAACAGCCAGCGCCCTGCCAGGAAGGAAAAGGGCTTGGTCTTCAGGACTCTCAAAGGGTTGTGGCGATCCCTCCTAGGGCTGGATGATATCAACAAACTCCTTCCTGAGGGGCAAGCGTCCCTGGTACCAGCTACAGGTGCCATCAGCATGCTTCATGCAGACATAATGCTGGGCCTGGTACCCGTAGAGCTTCCGTTCCAATAGCCAGTCTGTCCAGAGGCACTCGTTGGGAGCCGAGATGGTGCAGGGCACCATATAGCAGGTGGTGATCTAGAGCCATAGCCACACAACATCCAAGTGAGTAGGGTGTCCTTTTTCTGTTCTTGCCTTTCAGACTCCTACATGTTCTTACAGCCTAGCTCAGATGCCCCCTGGCTGAAAAGGTCCTTCCAAGTCTCCAAATTTCTCCCGTAGTTATCTTTCCCCTGTAGTCTCACATACAGTGCTGCCTCCCAAAAGCCCCAGAGCCCTTACTCTGCACTGGCCTAGGCAAGCCACTTCACTTCCTGCAGCATGAATTTCTTCACCTTAAAATGGAAATCTTCACTCTTCACAAATTTGTTTTAAAGACTAAATATCTTAAATAAATTAACCATTACAGGTCCTGACAAAAAGAGCAGACTCTCTTTAAGTGGTAGTGTATTATCCTAGTCTGTCTTATATGATGGCTGCCTTCTCAGCCAGAATGCAAGTACCTTGAGATCAGGGACTGCAGGCCTTGTTGCTTTCCCACCCCCAACTTTGAATGATGCCTGATCCATCACAAACCTCTAGTACAGCAAGTGAATAGGTCACATGCGCGGGAAGGAAGGAATACACGAAGGATGAGGCTGCATGGCCCTTCACCCACTCCCGAAGACCTTGGAAACGAACAGTCCTTACTTGGCAGCCACAGTTCAGATGGTAGTGGTGATTCAGACTTTCTCTCTGCAGAAAGGACAGGTTCTCCCAGGGCTCGATGTAGTTGCACAGATGGACAAAGACTTTCCCATCACTGAGGATCTGACCTTAAAGGGGAGATAGAGGAGAGCCGACATGAGGAGTCTGCTTGTGTAGCTCCAGGAGATCTTGAAGAGGCGCAGAATCACAGCCTCCTCGGTATCTTGTGGTGGAAGTGGTGACATGGGGCTCAGTAAAGGAGCCAGAAAAACCTCTACTGTCTTTATATCAAAGCCATTACCAGATGATGTTTGTATGAGTGAGAGTTGTAGGGCAAAGGCCTTTCCATTAGCATGGTGAAGACAGAGGGATGTGGGCTTTAAGTCAAAATCTTGGCAGAAATCCCTTCTTTTCTATCATTTACTAGTGTGTGACCATAAGAAAGCCATGTAACTTCTCAGCTGAAAAATAATAATAAGGTTATTGTCAAGATTAAATGAGAGAATGTCTGTAAAGTTCCCAGCACAGTTGTGGACCCACAGAAGATGTTTGATACATAGTAGGTCTCTCTTCCTTTTCAACCTTTTCCAACCTTTGTCCTGCTCCAGTGATATCTTGGTGAGTCTCTCCCCTTCTCCTTCTTTACATATCACACTCTTTCCTATTTTCCAAAGACCCTTTTTAGTACCACCTTGTCCGCAAAGCCATTCCTGGCCATACTAGCCCTCACCTCTGTTAGAACTTCAGTCATTCAGTCATTTATTGGCTGAGCAACTACTATGGCCTGGTACCAGGAATACAGGAAATAAACATGACAGGGTTTCTACCCCTAAGGAGCTGAAAACTAGTAGGGAAGACAAATTGTTGTTTTTGTTCAGGTGCTCAGTCGTGTCCAATTCTTTGCGGCCCCATGGACTGCAGCACGCCAGGCTTCCCTGTCCTTCACGATCTCCCAGAGTCTGCTCAAGTCCATTGAGTCAGTAATGCCATCCAACCATCTCATCCTCTGTTGTCCCCTTCTCCTCCTGTCCTCAATCTTTCCCAGCATCAGGGTCTTTTCCAGTGAGTCAGCTTTTTGCGTCAGGTGGCCAAAGCAGTGGAGCATCAGCTTCAGCATCAGTCCTTCCCGTGAATATGCAAGGTTGACAACCAAGTAGAAAATGATACTGTTGTATGATTCTATACAGGATGTGGTATAAGAACAAAGGAAACACAGTTATCTCTGTCAGTGGAAGGGGTGGGGGCAAGAAAGGTGTCTAAGATGATGCTTGTGTTTGGCGTTGAAAGGATGGGTAGGAGTTCAGCTGCCAGACGAGTTGGGGAGGAACTTCTGGACACTAGGACAGAAGGGCACAGCCCTGCAGAATACCTTTTGCACCTGCAGGTAGTTTAGACTCCAGGGGAAATGAGGGGCAGGGAACGGTCACTGAGTAGTGACAGGAGGCAAGGATGGGAGGTCAGCTGGATCTGGTCACAGAGGGTATTAGGCAGAAGGGCTGCGTCTTCTCCTGCAGACCGTGGGCACCACGGATGAGTTTTCAGTAAGCCTACGCTTTGTCATTTAACCCCACCTTCGGGTGGACTTGACCTCCGTGAGGCAGCCAGCACATGTCTGCATCCCTGATGCACTACAGCCCCTAGCAGAGGGCAGGTGCTCAGGAAGGAGGTGGCCCCGTCAGCTGGTCCTGGGACCTGGAGGGCTCAGGGGCCTGCCCTGCCCCTGCTCTCCCATCCAGAGGTGCCCGGATCAGCACAGTTCCACATCCTCAGACCTGGGGGGCCCCGACCTGCGTGGCCTCCAACATCTGTGACTTCTTAGATTTGAACTGTGAGGGAGCTCTTTGAGGACTGTGGCATGTTAGTGCATCTTCACTTGCCTGCCCCAGGCCAGGCAGTGAGGAGGTGGTCACTCATTGCTGAAGGGATGGACAGAGAATGGAATTCCTCCTTCCGTTCTCCCCACCTGCTTTGTTTTTCTTTTCCAGGCCTTCTTTCTAAATATGTTTTATCCTTTAGGGAAAATTTAGATCCCACTTACACAATGAAGGATTCCCTAGTGACTCAGATGGTAAAGAATCTGCCTGTAATGTGGGAGACCTGGGTTTAGTCCCT